TTTTCTTCTTCCATAGTAAACTCTATGCCGTTGAAGATGTTGTTGATCGTTGTTTGTGCCTCTTCGATCTTCGATTGTTTAATGATAACGAAAGTATCATCAACATATCGGACCCAAAGTTTCATTTGAACCCTTGGTAACGCAATATTTTCAAGCTCTTGCATCACAGCTTCTGCAAGGAATCCGGATATAGGTGATCCCATTGGTGTTCCTTTGATTTGCTGATTGAGTTTGCCGTCAAATTCGAAGTATGCGCATAGACACAAATCCATCAGTTCGCAAATGGTTCGAATTCTCACTGGATTATCCGAGTATGGCTCTCGAAGGAGCTTTTCCAGTATTTTGTTGGCCAAATTCAAATCAATTGAATTGAACAGCGCTTTGACATCAAACGAAAGCATGACTTCATCTTCCTCCAATTTGATGTTTTGCAGTTTGTCCAGAAATTGTCGGGCGTTAGTGATGGAATGTTCCGATCCACTTATGAAAGGTTTTAAGTATTTCCACAGTTCTTTGGCCAAATTGTATGTTGAAGTTCCCGGCAAGGATACGATCGGTCGCAGTGGGATACGGCTGGTGATGAAACGTTTGCGATCTAAACGCCAAGCTCAGCGATCACAAGACCCCACAAACTATCAACCTGAGCTACAAACCACACCCATATTCAAATCTTTTGAAATATATATATATATAAACAAACTAACGTCTCATCCTCTCGGTGCATATCGGGTGGCCAGCTTAAGAGGTCGATTGGGTAGGTCCATCGAGTTTATCTGCGCTCGGCTAATCCATGTAGTACGAAGATGTTATTGATCTAGGTAGATTATGCGCCACGACAAAACTCAGTGACACGGAATGTGAGTGATCTTAAGATAATGTTGCAATCACAACTCAGTTCGATCAAGCTGCTAACCGACCAATTATCCATCGATTCCCCGCTCACTGCCTATATCGATCTTTCACCGGTCGATCACTTGGTTTGGAACTTTTCCGATTTCCAATTATGCTGTCTGGCAGATCATGGAAGACAGTTAGTCATGCGTTGGGATTTTGAAACGATGAAAGATCTTCAACTCAGTTTGTCCTTTGAAGCGTGGCACATCTTGAGCAAACGACAATGTTAAACCTAGATTAACCAAGATGAATGGTTACATTCAAATCGTAAAGAACAAACGAGCCGCAAGGAGCGGAACTCGCACCCGCAAACACAGGAAAAGCTAACACAATGTCTGGGGGGGGGGTCAAATTTGAGTGGATTAGTTCGAGCACAATAACCGAAATCGTTCCTTCACTCTCCTATATTAAACCTTCTAGTCTCGCAATTCTGAATAAAAACACTGGGCTTAGTAATTGCGTCCGCCATTTTCACCTCGCATGCTCAATTGTATCTTTTGAACACGATTTTCCACCAAAATTAGTGCTTTTCACGGTGATTACGTAACAAAAACACAAAACGTGTTTCGGTGCGCCTACTTGACTCGTGAAAAAACCTCCTCCTCCTTCAAACAATTCACGGTGCTGCGACTCCGGATACCCTCCGCCGCATTCATACAACCCGTTGGGATTTTTTTATTACACACTTTCGTGTGATGAACAACAGACGGGGTGGAACCCCATGATCACGAGGACCTGCGGTTCTGTGATGGAAAGCGGTAACCTAAGCCCCGGGACTTAGAGTGGTAGACCACATAAGGCCCCGATAGGTTGGGTGTGGTATTGAACCAGATGACAGCAGAGCTGCCTACCACCAAAGTCGGTTGGCGGTGGCGGGGCTCGAACCTCGGACGATGGGGTCTAAAGCACACCGGTGACAGCGACTAGACCACTGCGCCACCACCACAATTGAATGGGGGTGTGAACCGACAAGTAGACAGAATCTTGAAAACAAGGTAAAATTCGACTGGGACGAGAGGTTTTTATTGTGAAAGAGACCTGATCAGCATAATAAGAAGCATATGGGGAGAAAAACGGTCTTCAGCATAAGAAAAGAATTAGGCACGGAATTCGCACTCGAAATCATTTTGGCGTGCACTGTTTGAAAAGGTGGCGTGATTCACCCAGACTGGGGGTGCAACGTTTT